CTTGTCAGTCATATCGATTGGTCGGCAGCACATATTGCGTCTGCCCATGGGAAGGTTGCCGGTCACAAACCTGAATGATCGCGGCATGCGACAACTTGGATGCGGCACTGACAGTCACAAAGTGGTGACGGTGGTGACGGTACCAATGACACAGCACCCGCGGAAATGGCAATATGAGTGGACAGCCGTTGTGGTGTATGTAGTTGTGGTGGTGGTATTGCTGGTTGCGGGTGGCTGTACCGGGCTTAATGTGTGCATGCCCAATTTTGATCTTGGCGCACCCGGGGTTCTGTTTTGTTCTTTGGCTCAGATGGCTCCCGGCTTTCTTCAGACCAACGGGCGATAGCAACTGGGCGCAACCGGAGTGCTGTGCCAGGCGGCTTGTCGTTGGAACAAACATATACAATGCCGCGGGCTAGCACATTGTTAGTCGTCCCAAAGATGGATTGGCGTCGGACGTAGCTCGTATGCTCTATTGCTTCATGTACGTGTACGTGCGTGTGAGGGGGGAGGGGGGGAGAGGGGAGAAAGAGAGAGAGAGAGAGAGTGTGTGTGTATGCGTGTACCGTTACTGGTAAGGTAGGTACGAGGGAATGGCCATGTAGGAAACGGCTGTTGGTTCGGTTTGGCTTGGTATAGTTTGGTTCCGTTCCTTCGCGCAAGTAACCAACAACCTTGGAGGAGGACAGACACTGTGCCCCTCCGGAGCATTTACGCTTGCTTAGTCTATTCCCAGTGGTTTGGGTCGCTTGAGATCTGTCGACGCCCTAACCTTCGCGACAGATGACTCTAGCAGTGGGCTGCGTTTCTTGGTGAACCCCTAACCAGGGTATCGGGATCTGCCTAGTTCTTTCGAGAACAACCGTAGATTGAGGGGGGGCCAAAGCCAGCTTAGAATGCACAGTAGCCCCGAAGCACGTTGGGGGCGACTCCTGGTGTGTGGGTTGGCGCTGGCACTTGTGAACGAGCCGCAACCACATTGGCACGACGAGGCTATCAAAGCATAGCAGGGTAATAATTAGTACATGTGAGTGTGTGTGTGTGTACTCTACTTAAACGGTACGGAGTAGACGCCTTTTACTTGGTGTAGAGGGTGGCAACAGCGACGACTGGGGGGGCTTTTGTGCTGTGATGTGTCCATGACGCATCCAGTTGCGTACAGGTACAGAACCGCTGGGGAGGAAACTGACCCAACCATGGAGTGAGCGGTGAGAAGCCCATGAGCATGTCAATGGACATGGCGGACCCAGACGAGGTGACCGCCCGCAGGGCGAGGGTTGGTGTCGGATGGGTTCTTGATTTGCAAGCAGGAAGAGAGGAAAAAAGTAAGAAAGAGGGGGGGCGAAGGGTTGCGTGCGGTTGTCACTGCGGAATCTCTCCGAGGTTGAGAAGAGTCGAGGTCGAGGCCCGAGGGGTTGTTCGGGGAGGGGCAATGCCTCCCCGTCGGCCGTGACATGCGTAATTACCGCTGTTCCTTGCCATCATTTCCCTCTTCCCTTTCGTAGGCGATTGCTTCCCTTTGTCATCGTCCTGTCCAGCTGAAGATGATTCCATACCGGTATTTGAGAGCCCCCGCTCGTCCAAGGCAACTGTGGGAAGGTGCAGCTCCGGGTGGTATGAAAGTGACCGTATCCGTACTTTTCATACTTTCTTCCAGTGTGGATTTATCATAGCACCTACCCCGTATCCGTCCCGCATATTGATGAGGAGAGGAAGGAGCGGTGTGGGGCCACGCTGGCGAATCATGTGACTACATCCCAGGTGAGGCGCGTTCGGTATTTGGGGGGAAGGGGGGGGGGGGGGGGGGTGCCTCACCGAGCAAGCGCAGCCGTCGCCCGTCCAAGCGGACCGCTTCCGTCTCTGCAGTCAACATTTTTGCTCGACCCTTTTCACTTTCACCGTCAGTGTTACCATCACCGTCGCCGCTGCCGCTGGCTGCCGCTACCGCTCGACAGGCGTGACATCCTTTCTGCACAGACATCGTCGCCTGTTGGGGCTCGTCTTGCTCATACTCCCACAGCCCGCGACGCGACATGCATATGCATAACTGACCCTGTTCTTTCCGTGTCCCCCTCTGGGCCTCTCCCCTGCTCGCAGCTCAGTCCACTGTTACACTCCGTCTCCTCGACTCTCAACTCCGCAGCCCGTATGCACGCACATGCGGGCTGCAATCTCAATCTGGTGTGCCCACATTGCAGGGCAAAGTAACCTGGGGATCAGTCGGATAGTCATCATCGCCGCCTTCAGGCAGGGTTGTAGGCTGTCATGGACTAAGCGAGGCAAAGGCGAGAAGGGAAAGAAGAACAAAGTCTTTCCCGGCCCTAGGCAATGGCCACTTTCCAGGGAGAGGGGGCCCCCAATGGAGTCTGAGGTATACTACATAGCAGATACGCTATATATGATGGGTGTGCGGATGCTGTCACTCAGGTGACAAAAAAGAGAGCCGGTTTTGAAGAACCTTATCTTATAGCCCTATTGCTTTTAAATACCAGAGAATAGGTCAGATAAATACTTTTTTACACTTTATAATCTTTCTTTTCTTAGGAGGACTCATAAACGTATTTTTTAACGAGTAAAAAGCTGTATTGCTGATTACAGGAGCTGTAGTACTGGTGGTGAGGGTGGCTGTTGTGTAGGGGGAAACCGGCTCTCTTTTTTGTCACCCGAGTGGCTGTGTACCTAGACAGGCATCGATGGAGCTCTGCACGTATAAATATCTGTATATCTACACGGTACACTGTACACAGTACTTGTGCAGCGACCAGGCCACGGCGGGGCAATGAGAAATGGCATGGGAGTGGAGGAAGGAAGAGGGGAAATCTGGATGATGCAGGACAAGCTGGGTGGGCACCGGAGAATGGAGCAGCATTGCGCGTTACAGGGAACCCAACGAATGTTGCCTGGAGGGCTGGCTATCCCTTCCTTGCCTGTCCCCCCTTGTCCCCTGTCGTCTTCCGTCCTTGCGAAGCACCTCGCCCTTTTGCCCATGGTCGCCATTGAACCCCGCCCCCCCCCCTCCCGGGCTCCCTCTTCGGTCCCCGGTCTCGCGTTTGGCTCGGTATTCCTAGTAAATACGCACTCGGTAGATCGTACCTGTGACCGAGACTAGACAGGTAGAGAGTGCTGGCCGTCGCGTCCTGGTCGTCCTCCTGTTTGGTGTTGGTTAATCGTGGCTAATGACAAGGAGGGCAATGGCAAGCACAAGCGACAGTCCCATTTCGATATTGGAGGAGCGGAACGCCGCTAGATGCATTTCTGGTTAGGCCCAACCAACCCCTTCCTTGCAACTGAAATCTGACGCGCTGCTCTCTCCTCGACCAAATTGGAGGACGACAGCATAGGGAGGGAGGGTAAGCAACTTCGGACCAGCCTCCAAACGTCGTCACAATGAGATGGCATTATCCGTATCGAGATGCCGTGCTCTGTATCCTATCCCGGTGTGAAGAGACGATGCGTGCCGACTCCAACGGGCCATCAACCCTCGAGGCCAGCCACCGTTACTGACCGACAGCTTTCGGCAATTCCGTCGCAATATTGTCCTTCACGTCAGCTTTCATTCCAGCCGGGATCGACACTCCAACATCGTAGACACGGCTGTGGTGTACACCGTTTTGCACCGGCAAGTCGTCTTCCAGGCACTGCCACCTTCCCCGCCAACACTACGAGGTAAATTGAGTTCAGGTCTTCAATGCCCGTTGCTTCAGGGCTGCCGCCAGCTCGACTGCCTGTGCGCTCACTTCGGCATTGCTCCCTGTATGCCGCGTCGCGTCTCGCCCTGAAGTGGATGAGAGACTCGAGACAGGATGGGCCAAGGCCTGCGTCCGCGCACACCCACGTCTAGCCTGAGAACTTGTTTGACAAACCGAACTTGCGGGGGAAACGCTAAGGTAGCCCCGAACCTCCGATGGCTGACAGGGACAAGTACAACATCAGACACCTTGTGTCAGGAGACACGTGCCATCTCAGCAATGCTTCTCTCTTCAGGGCCAATTGCCCCCAACAATAATCAAGCCGAGACTAGGTATCGACGTAGTGCAATACATGGATCGATCCAGTTGCGCCAATCCTCTCTTGACGGTGATGCTATTCTTCATAGCGTTACAAGGGTGATGCTACGGCAACGATGCTTAGTGATCGACCAGTAGACCCATTACGCCGTCTTCTGTCTCAGTCCGCGTCTTCAGGTCACCCAGCTACGGGAGCCATCCGACCATGTCTGGCCTCCATTCGGGGAGCGGGAGGCGGACAACGTAAAGTCAGAAAGGCCGCATTTCGTCCCATCGACAGCTATTTTTGTTGCAGGCCAGGCTTATTTATTGGTCGTGGCTGCTTTGGAAACAAGTGAGTCCCAAGGTTCCACACAATTTGGCTGAACAGGTGCAGGAAACCGCCGAACCCCCTTAAGCATCGTGGGTAGTTTCTAAACGATCGCCAAACCAAACAGTCTAGACCACCGTTTGGTTCCAAGCCCTGGACTGGCGCGCTGAAATAACCTTTGCGACGGCCCAAGGCGCCAGCAATACCCCTCGACAACTCAACAACGCCGTGAGACTCGGGGTCTTTTGGGCCTGGACGTTGCCGCTTGCTTGCGTCCTCGTTAAGAGCCTCGTAAAGAGATGTAGGGCTGTGCTGCGCAATGGTCGACAGGACGTCGAGCCTCGTCTTGTCCAACTAAGGCGTTTCCGAGCTGTAAGGGCGATGAAGATATATAGAAATAAAATAAGAATAAAATACCATCCTTCCTTTTACAGACCACTTGTTTGTATCCCGTCGTACAATCTCTGTCGCGGGCGGAGAATATTCTGGCAGCAGAGCCCCGTGGACCCCGTCACGCCTGTTGGGGTTAGTGTTGTGTTCAACGCACAGAAGTCCCCGAGGAGTCTATGCTCTTTTCGTCTACTGGGATCATCTCCAGCGCAAGCATTCCTTCAACTTCGCCCGAGTCAGGGTCCCACACCCGCGGGGTCTAGATCGCGGGCACCACACGGCAGGTCCCTCTTTCAAGTACCCTCCTTGAACGACGCCTTGGTGGGCACTTGCTTTGTTCTGATGTTTCGCAGTCTCCGTCGTCGGAAGAGAACAGAGACGAGACCGGAGTCTCCATCTAGACGGACGGGCTGCTCCTTGCCCGATGCAATTGAGTGCGAATGCCAACCCTCGTCTGCTCGTGCCGAGACGGCTCCGGCCTTCATTAACTACGACGGATCGGACATTGATAGAGAAATGGGGCCTATGGCATGTATTGGTAGACAGCAGTGCCGTCCCTGTATTGGCCCGCAGTCAGTACTCCGTACTGTAAACATAGACAGACATACAGTACAATGCATCCCATGCAGGAAGAGGCAGGAGCCTGGGACTCTTCCGGGACCGACGTCTCTTGTCCTGGCACGCTGGGCATGCGCAACGCTCGCTTTTCAAGTTCTGACGGGCGGGTGATGATTGTCATCCTACTGCAAATGCCAATGCAACGGCAACCGAGCATCTTGACGATCGACCAGGGCCTCTTTTTTTGGGGGTGGCCAGTGAGGGATGGAAGAGTCGGCACATCAGCCCCCTCTCACAAGACCTCTAAAGCCATGACGAGGCAATGTGCAGGGGAGCGAGCATCGGTCTTCACCTTGCGTCGCGCATCACTCGAGCTTACACTAGGTAGCCCGCCGATGATTCGTAGGGACGGGAAGTTAGAAAGAAGAAAAAAGACATGCAGAAGTGAGACAGGGAAGAGAGGGTGGGCCAAGCCACAAGGTTCCACATCATCTTCTATCAGGCTAGCGCAAAAAAAGGGCGCAGATCTCTGTTCTCTGGGGCCTGGGCTTTCGGTCCACGACCCCACTACACCGTGATGCAACCTTCAGTCCAGGGGATGGAGAAGGACCCACTCATCTCGCGTTCCTTCCCTCATTGCTCGCTCACCCTGGCATCATGTCTTGGGAGTACATCGTAGGTGCTCCTCCCCTCCCACCTAGTGCGTATGCTCCTCCCAAGCAAGTGGCACGAATCCCAGAACCCCCCCTGTCCACTGGCCCCTCCCCTCCCTGGTCGTCTTCGCCCGCCCTAGTTGTCTAATTGCTCGGTTCGTGAAATCTCACGATGCCTGCCTCGCCGTTCGGTTCTCTCGGGCGTCATCGACTGCACGGAAACCTTGTCTTCGGCGCCTTACAACAGGAGCTCACAAGCACCCCCATACATTCCTTCTCTTTTTCTTTCTCCCCGTATTTCACTTTGGGGACATCCACGCTGGCTCGCCCCTGAGGTATGTCATGTACCTTGCGAAGAATATCGCAACACATGATAGCAGATTCCATATTCGCTTGTCTCACATGCGCCTATTCCTTCCTCTTGGCTTACCGTTTTCTGTTCCCGGTCTTCCTTGCATCGCTACTTCATGGTAATGGAGGCTAGGTGGATGCCATCTTCTACGGTATCCATAACCTCCCTCCTGACCAAGGCATACACTGCCCAGCGTCCTATTCGTCGATATTTCTTACGCTTTCAGCTTACGTACCGGCGGTTGCTCTCCGAGTCCATTGCCAAGGAACCCCACACAGGCGCACAGCACACACACCACAATGCCAGCAAGACAGGGGGGAAATTAACCCACGGTGCCGTTCCCTCAGCTGCCTCGCGGCATCCCGGCCCTAGACCTTGCCCACCCGCCATGATCTCCTACTCAGTATTCGTACAACCATCGCCGCCGACCGGTTGCTGTCGCCTGCTCGGTAACCATGCACACCCTCGATGCCAACCTCACCGCGCTCGATTCCGCGGCACGGCCATCACTCTCCTATTCCGGCACTAACCCCTTTCCTCTGTCTGCCTTAGTTCATGTACGTGCCGTGCCTACGGCTACCCAAGCTACTTCCCTGCAGCAAGGACTCCAGGTTTCCTATGCAAGACCCCAGGCTCAGCAGCAGTCGGCTTGCCCCCTTTGTGCCGTGTATGATCAAGGCCTCCTGGAGCACCAGCATCTCCCCGTACCTGTCCATACGACATGGGGCATAAGAGTTCTGAACCCAGGCGTGCAAGGCAATGAAATTGCCCAATCATCATGATCAAGGCCAACATCGTGTCCAATGCCTAGAATCCGCTGTCCAGATGGAATGCCACGCATCCGGAAGTACAGCAGCAACGGCACCGGCACCATCAACAGGTGGCCGTGCAGCACAATCCAGTTCGGCACGTCGTCGTGTCCAGGCCTGTCTTTCTCCTGCGGACAGCATACAGGACGTATCTTGGTGTGCATGCGAACGTCCGCCAGTCAGATGGCCCTTGACACGCCCTTCGTTGGGCATCCCACACCCCCTCGCCGCCACGAGTATGGATTTCTACCAGCCGGGGACCTCGACCACAAAAAGCCCAAAGGCTGAGCAGGGAACATGGGTTCTTGGGGCTGGGATGGGGCCATCGTCACTGTTCCGAGTTCTCTGCTTTGTTGGCACAAGTCCCATTCATCACCGCTGTCTTCTAGCCACGAAATTCGTGTCGGAAAATAGCATACCTAGTGCACACAGCAATGCCTACCGCTGCCAGGGTCAGGCCCGAGGGTGTTTCCCATCGGCCCCATCTGACACGCCTCTTGTCCTCCCCTGTGATCGTTTTTGGAGTGGCTGGATCATCATGGAATGGGAGGGGCGATCTCAACTATCATTCCATTCGATGACTACTCCGTAGACATCCTAAATAACGGATATCGGATACCCATCGCGTCACGGGATCCTATAATTATCTTTGATCACTCACAGGACACTAGACACAGTGATTCCTGGCTCCAGTAACATGTTGGACGTAATCGCCTCTCGTTTGTTTGGTCGTTGTGCAAGTGGCCCCCTACCCGCGAGTCAAGAGTCAGCGGATCCGTTCGTCCCGAGCAGCTGCAACAGCCATCGGAATCCCGATCTCTGGGCTTAGAGATGGAAGAGAGGCCCCAGGAAAAGAAGCTTTTTCGTGCTTTCAGGCTGAAGAGCTTTCCCAAATCTGCCGTCGGAAACGGCCGCAGTCGGCAACATACGAGTTCTCGTTGTTCTTAAGTTTTATCCAACCTGCTCTCGACGACGCGCTTCTGGAAAGACAGCGCGACAGATGCCATTTTGGGGGGTCAAGTAAGACATTCATCCTCCAACTCACACCCATATGCATGCCACACCCCTTATTATGCTTGTTGCTGATTCCCGGCTCAACAACAACAACAACAACATCGTTATCATTGAGCAGCATATGCTTTCAGGACTCAATGGACATTGGCAAATTTCCCAGCACCTACGACAATCCTAGCAGGGCCGGCGTTACGGGTGACGAATAATATGACTTGGCCCGCGGGCCGTATGCTGTAGAAACAGGCAAGGTTCACCTAGTCTCTGGGTGATAGAATCAACCTGACACACGACGCGGCAGCCATGCTCGTCGGGATGATCTAGGGTCATTTGGGCAAAGGAGGAGAACGCTAGATCTAGGCCACTTGGTCATTTCATTGATTCGTGCGTTTCATCCTATGTGTCGTAGAGCTTTGCGGAACGTCCAATTGGGAATGGGACATAGGGAGAGCAAAGAAAAAAAAGTCGCTGACCAAGAATACGATATGCATTTCAAAGAGTTGGAGACGCCGATAAGGTACATATACGGATACACAGGCACGGTACGGATACAGCCAGGAGGTATCAAGTTATCCTATCAAGCCACCGCAGTTTTGGCTAGCTCCGGCATCCAGCGAGGGGCTTCGCCAAGCTAGGAGATCCTCAGCTAGCATGTTTAGCTCGAAGAGTGAGGTACTGTCCGGAGTAACTGGTTTAGTTTGGAGCACACATCATCATCATTCGAGCACCAGCATAGCAGCATCCAGTCAGTCAGTGCGCACCTGCACCTGCCACCCAGATTCTGCCATCTGCCAGCTGGCGTTGCTCGTGCTGCTCCTTCTTGTCCGATACACGAGCCGATGGGTACGTACCGAAGTGAGGGAGGACCGGGAAGAGGACCAGAAAAAAAGAAGAGAAAAAAAAGGCGGGAAAAAAGATACTTGGCCACCTACCTGCCCTGTGCTTCGATGTCGACGCTCCTCAGCCCACCCAGGTCCATTCCCGACGTACGATGTACATCGTATATCGCACACCCCTGGAAGGCGAACTCAGGAATCTAAATCTCACCCCCAGCTCAGTGCTCAGCAGCCAGCAACCCTGTGCAGCTTTCGGGGGAGACACCCAGTTCGTACATGCCGCCTGTCTCTTTTGAGGGCATTTCCTACCTTCAAACCTTCACATCAAGGATTGACATACGTATCGCCGTTTTCACAGGGCAATGGGTGGATCCACATGACTTTTACACTTGTCTCACAGGGCGCATCATTTTCTGCCGTCACTATCGATCTACACACCCCAGGGAAGGGACGATGACCAGAGACAACGACTGCTAGAACAAGGTGCATTGGCCACGGGGGTACGTACCTTCGATCAGTCTCCCTCCCACTCACCACGCCGCACACCTTCAGTACACTTAATGGGAAGGATAGGGGGAGAACAGAAAGCGGAAGGGAAAGAGAGAAAAATGGACAAGAGGTACAGAGCAGTGAGTCTCGAAGAGCAACGTCTTGTTGGGTCGTTTTCCAGCCTGCGATCCGTACCTCTCTTCATACCTATAGTAGCCGTAGCAAATCACCAATCACTCACAGTTCTCACTCCCCCCGGAACACGTCGTCTGTCCGCCACTCACAATCCAGGCGGACTAATCCTCTGGGAAGGGTGTTTTTTTTTTCTATCGTTCTAGTCCCCCCCCCCCCCCCCCCCTTCTCCCTTGGGCCAATTGTCCACCCACAGACAGCAACCGCATCCGTCCAGCCGTCCGTCCATCTCTTGAATCTCACCCTTCACCCTTCATCCTTTCACCCTCTCTTCCGTGCCCACTTCACCTCGTCGCGTCTCCACCAGCTGCAAATCAGCCCTCGCGCTGACCCCGTCACCCAGGTGTGGTCCATTATTTCCTCGAGGGCCTACCCCATTCTGTCTTTCCCTCTTCCGTCGCAAGTATTAAATTCGTCTTTCTCCCGGGAACGGCGCTAAGATCGAACTCCCCCTCGTCATTAACCTTCATTGGGTTTACCCCCTTACCCCCTTCCCTTTCCCTCACTTGCCTCACCGAGCAGAGCAAGAAAGAGCGAAAGACGAGGCAGGAGACATTCAACAAGACAGAAGGAGAGAGAAAAAAAGAGGGCCTTTGGCTCTTTCATCCATCCTCCTCCACCATCCGCGCTACTTCAACTAGCACCACGGGAAAACTCGCTGCCCAAACTACGACGCACGCACATGCTCTCTTGCCTTTCTCAAAGTAGCAGCATCAGTGGCAGCACGTACCTCACGTAGCCGTCGTCGAGTCCAAGTCCAACCTCAAGTCCAAAGTCGACTTCGGCACACAGAGAAATCCACCCTACACACCCACCACACCTTGCCATCGAGTACCCAGGCCAAGGCCAACTACGCCCCCTACCACACGCACGCACAAGCATCAGCGCCCACCATCCACCTCGGCTACACCTCACATCAAGGCTACTTGACCACCGCCAGCCAGTCTACACGCGCACTTTGCTCTGCTGTACCAGCACCTTCTTACCGGTGTGCGCTGCACATCTACGCATCACTTGCAACCCACCACCACATACTACGCGCGCACATCATCTCTCCAGACTGCAGTACTTTGCTTTGTGGGTTCTTCTGTGTTGCAGCAGCAGCAGCACCTGCATCCCGCAAGCCGGATCAGACAAGAATCAGTCGCTTCCTTGGGAATCACATCTGCCAGCTTGTCAAACTCAGGTCCCAACCTCAGATCAGGCCAGATTCCGACAGACGCCAACCCAGATATTAAAAAAAGGACTAAGACACACCCTGCGCTATACGCAAAGAGGAACGCTTCGACGTCCCATCCTCCTCTATCTGCTCTCCACCCTCCTCCCTTCCTTCCTTCTTCTCCTCTCGCCGTGTGTACCTGGTCCTACACCTACGGTACTGTTCGCCGCCTCGGATCCCTGAACCCATACCACCACACCCAGCTCGTGGACCTGCCCCCCCCGCCCTATCTCCGATCCTGACGCTAAGAGACCGCTCGGCCAAAACTCAAGCGGAGAGCCCAGCCCATCCATTACCTACTTAGCGCACTATTTTAGTGTCGCGCTCCCCAGGCATTGCCGTCAACCTCTCAGCCAAAGCGAGAAAGAGAGTCAAGAAAGAGAGAGCAAAAGAGGCGTCCACTCCGTGATCTGGCAAAGACAACGCTATCCTTGCCACTTCCAGAGATCTTCGCTCAGGGCCGGTGACTAGCGACTTTGTTGTCATCACATCCCCATTTAACCATAAACCCGAGCCCTTGGGTGGTCCGCGCTATCTTGGCCGCCATCTTTATACACCATCGTCGCGCCGCCTCAAGTCTCACTTTACTCCCCAAGTTCACTCGTCGTCCACTACTACTCCTTCTTTCCATTCTTCAAGTACAAGCCCGCTCTCGCTACTTGAAAGACCGCGTCTCGAGCCAACTCATCAACCACTCTTGAATCCGGAAGAAAAAAAAAAGAAAGGCATCGCCTCCCACGAACCTGCGAACCCATCGTTGGCTTGAGAACTAAGGACTCTCCGGCCATTTTCTGCAAACTCAGAACGTTCCGCTGAACTGTAGCATGTTCGTGGTCCCAACGCAACACCAGTTCGTTGACAACCACGCATCACTACTCTCTTCAAGCTCTCCACAGCTTGGAGGTTCCCGCCCTGAAGCCGCTGCCATCAGCTCGCTTCTCACCTCCCTCAGCACCTCTATGGAACGCAGTGCTACCGAGTACTCGCAGTCAGGTTTGCCTTCGCCTTACCCAAGCAACTGCGGCGACACTCGTTCTGAAGGTTCATCTGCAGATCACGCATCTGCTGCGCAATACGCGACCCAGCAGGAGGTCCGCTCTAGCAACTACTCCACCTCGGCGACTCCCACCTCGGAGTACAGCGTCTACCCGCCCTCTGCGCGGTCAGGCTCTTTTCCTGAACACATTCAGCGATCATACCATCCAGCTAGCAACCACAACGGAAGCAGCGGAGGCATGGCGCAACAAGCAAGCAGTCCGTCTTTGCCCCAGCAGGATGGACGTAACCATCAGGTCCCGATGCCCAAGTCTGACCACGATGTACCCATAGATCCGTCCATAGCGGCGCCGAGTCCGACCTACGCGTACGGCCAGCACTCTCCCTACGGCCCGCCTCCGGGAGATATGTCGCATTCCTACCAGCACCCTGCCTATGCGCAACCCCGACCCGACTGGACCGGCTACGGTCAACACAGCGCCGGTCCTCTGACTCCCGCCAGTCACGTCTTCCCCCCGACGCCGAGTTCTGCCCCACCCCAGGGACGTCCTAACCAAGTAAGTGAAACTAGCAGGCGGAGTGTTTTCAGGTGTGCTGGCGCGTCAAGGCGTTTTGTGTGACGCTGGCAAGTTCTCCCTCCAACCAAGGCCAGAAACAACAAGCTTTCCCAATAGTCTTGATGCCCTTTACCGCGAGCTGGGAGAGGAAGTAAGAGGGAGTGCCGGCCAGTGTCAACAGTACACCATTGACGATTCGGTCCCAGAGACTAGCATGCGCGCGTACTTTCATCCTGGGGGAGAATCAGTGTACTAACGTAACAGTTTGGCAACCAGGTATACTCTTTCGTTCCGATCCCTGGTGCCCAGCAGCACAAGCGACCCCGTCGACGTTATGAGGAAATTGAGCGCATGTACAAGTGCGGCTGGAATGGCTGCGAGAAGGCTTACGGCACGTTGAACCACCTCAACGCACATGTCACCATGCAGTCCCATGGACAGAAGAGAACACCTGAAGGTACGTCTTTTACGAACTCCAAGAATTGCAACCTCTTGGTCGCGTCAATAGTCCTCTCTTTGGCGTAGCTTTGATTGTGTTTTGTGTTCCAAGCAGTACTGTGCGCACAAGCGGCTCCAGTTCTGCACAAACGCGGTCTAGGTCCTGTTGGTCTAATTCCATGGTCATGGGTTAGCCTACATGCACGGAACGAGGCACCAGAACCGGTATGATAGCAGAGTCTTGAGACTGACATTTTCCCCGCAGAGTTCAAGGAGATCCGCAAGGAATGGAAGCAGCGCAAGAAGGAAGAAGAAGCACAGCGAAAGGCCGAGGACGAACGCCAACGCCAGGCTGCTGCAGCCGCTGCCGCCGCTGCTCAGAACGGCTCAGGCGATCCCCAGTCTGGGCCTGACGGCTCATCGTCAGCATCCGCATATGCCAGTGGTCGCCAGGTTCAGTTGCCGCCAATTGGATACCAACCTTCGCAGTACCCTGCGCCTCCTTCTGCTGGAGGGGTTGCACAGCAACCTCTTCCCGAGTACAACAGCTCTCACATGTACTCTGCCAACTATCAACCCCAGTCACCTTATGGGCAGCCAAACCAGAGCATGTACAGCTCACGTGAGTTGAAGACTCCTGGAGCATGCTGAACTTGGCAAGCTAACTGTACAGGCAGATAACGGCGCTCAGACGTCTAGCCACTGAAGCAGGCTGACTCACGATCGGAAAGGACCCATCCGTAATCGATGGAAGGGGGAAAGGACTTGTACATTACCGGGTATCCTTCCGCACGACGACAGCCGCTCTTCCGCATATGTTCATACCACGAACTTTCAACTTGGTCTCCTTCGGTTATTAGACGCGCGGCAAAATTCTGGTTTACGAAGCGATCCGCCTAAATCATGGCTTCCGGATTCCCACGTTTCGATTGAGTACACGCACAGCATGGTTTCGATGCGGCACTTAACCATTTTCATTTGACGTCTCGGACATATCGAGGCTTGTTCATTGGCGTCGCGTCACGACGCGATGCCCTTTTTCTCCGGTTCTCTTTTCTCCACATAAGATGACGCATTGGGCAAATGGCTTTTCCTAGGACCGGTGTAGTATGTGCATTTACAAGAGCAGCTGAGGGCGGTCATGATTCGACGAATGGATTGGCGGTTCGCCTTGGTTGTCCCATATGGGTCTCATCTTGGAGGCGCGCTCAAGGCCCGTCCATCTCGACCCAACGACACCACGCGTTCGACACGCTGCGCCGCGCATATCGACTCGCGACACTGTCGGCGCGGGCAATGCTGGGGGTGGAGGACAAAACCGCATCTCTGGAAGTCGACGCTTTTGGGTCATGACAACATCATTTGCAGACGACACGTTTTCCCTATCTCGACCTGGGTCCCTCGAAGGAGGCCGTGCACTTCTCGGATGGCGACAAGGGTTTTTTTCCGGAAAATGGTGACTTTTTTTTTCTTGGTAGAAGGCGAGGGCACAGGATTGGCAGGGACGGACCTTTGGGGTGGCGCCGAAATACCTAACATATATGGACGTTTAGGGCGTCGACACGTTGCGTGTGATAGTCGAGGATGATTCGTTTTCTAGTATTGTCTTGTTTTTGGATTTTGGTGGGTAGTTGCGGAAAAGGAAATTCAAAAAGATTTCAGCAACGTATAACCGAGTTCCCTTCAGCCCGTGTCAAATTCAAGAATGTTGTGAGAAACTAGGTTGCGCGAAGTTATATCGCTTTGGAGGAGCGTCCCTTTGGGGTCAGGCGCCGACTGGGGAGAAGAAACAAAAGGAGCAAAGGTTGAGTTGGGTAGCCAAGTCAAGTCGTACAGGGCTAGGACGAACACCGTGTGTAGTGAGTGAGGTCAAGGCCGGTGCCATGAGGCGGGAAAAAGAAAGATGAAGCAGACAGGCGGTTAGCCGCTGAAGAACCGGCACGGTAGACCTGGTGACACCATTCCATTGCGAGCTTAACCCAGCGTCTCCGGCGCATGTCGTTTATGTATGCGTGTGTGTGCTGGCGAGTGTTTACGGTGGAGGCGTTAGTTTCTTAGGTGCATTAGGTGGACGGGCTCTTGGCAGGAAGACATGGATGGAGAGGCAGGGCTATTTTTGTTTTTTCTTCTTTGCCCCTCTGTAGGACTCTGTTGTAGCTAGTGTCTGCAGGTTACTTATCACTGCATGATCTGTTATTGGTATGGCAGTTTATGTTTGTCACTTGCAGTATCCAACCCCCTTTCGCCCTTTACAACGGTATGTGGGTATGCACTTTGGTGCTTGATATGTATGCAGGATTTAGTGCGAGAGCGTCAGTGAGTGGGTGAATAGATGGATGCTTTAGAGAGAGAGAGAGAGAGAGAGAGAGAGAGAGAGAGAGAGAGAGAGAGAGAAGGGGAAGAAGGGTATGTTAGAGAAAGAGGATCTTTGTGTGACTTGGATGCTATGCAAGCAGCCAGTGTCAGCGGCGTGTGCTTGTGAAAATTGTGAGAAAAGTGCTGGGGGAGGGGGGTGAAAGCATGTGTGCGTATGTTTAGTTTGTGTAATGCTGGTTCAGGTTGGTTGTTGTGGTATCCTGCGTGCGGATGGCTGCAGGTAAGCAGCGTGGCACGCTTGGATTGAAGAATCAACTGCCGTGTGCGCGCGCGCGCGCGTGGGGGGGGGGGGTTCTAGTACTTCTGTTGTTTTCTTGATTATGTGTCTAGTTAATAATCAATGCGGTATTAGCATCCAACACCCGCCGTCACCCATTGATAAAGTTGATGGACAAAGTTTGAAGTCGAGAGAAGGTGGTGGTGATGGGGGGTGGGATACGATACGGGGTTCAACCGAGGTTGGCCGGGGAGGAGGGGGTAACAGCGGGCCCGACTACGGATGTTGTTCCCAATTGAGTTTCTCGCGATGAGGTTCGGGCGCGTCGGGTCCCAAGGGCCCGGGTACACAGGATTTGAGGACTGAGAAGGAGTCGGTGAGCAGCCGGCGAGGCCAATTGCAGAGGGACATGAACTCGTGACGTCTTTTTCTTGGTTGGTCCGAGGGCGGCAGTAGCCCTCGAGGGGGGGGGGCACAAACTTTTTTTTTTAAGAAAAGCAAATCGCAACGGCGAGGTCCCCAGGTGGTGGTACCCTTGACAGCAGGGCAGGTGATATGTGCTTATATATCGAAGTTTTTCAACCGAAACAGGGCAAAGAAGCGAAGGCAAGCGAGGTCAAAACATAGTTTGTCTTTGGGTTCCGAGTAGCCGACTTGGAAACCTTGCGCGGGCGCGAGTGAAGGTGTGTGTGTGTGTGAAAGTTTTTTTATCTTCATTTTTATAGACTAGTGGGACCAGACGGCCGGGTCTTTGGTACGTCCAAGGCCCTGCTGCTGCCTTGCTAGTTTCGGACAGGATAGGAAAAGGCAGCAATTAGGCTTCTTATTTTTGTCAGCTGTCGAAGTTTTTATTTAATGATGTCTTGATTCATTATTTTTCCGGCATCCTTGACAATTAGGGGCGGACCAGGAGCGGAGGTGAAGAGGGGCCGAAAGAGAGCACTTGCCGCAGCGCGGGTTTTTAGACTGGTCACTTCTTAATCATCTATGATATACCACACACAGATAGACTAGCAGTGTAGATCCCGAGACGATGGCACTGGGGGGGGGGGGGGGGGGACGAAGTAACCGGGGGGTGCAGTCCAGGGTGTGTGTGGGTGGGAGGAAAAGAAGCGTGGGAATGCATCATTTCTTGTTTGCCTAATCCTTGATGTCGATGATTTACTAGCGCACCTGCTAGCTTGCTGCGTTTAAACCACATTTGTACGGCGTCACTTAGGCTTTCGGCCCCCAATTGCAACGTCGCTCTTTTCCCGCCTGGTGGGGGGCGGGGGCTGCGTCGTGTTGGATCCCGAGTTCCGTTACGGAAAATGATGCAGGGTGTACGGAGCGGAACGACATGGTTTTGGACGGAACGGAACGGACGCAACGGAAAGACGGGCGGACGGTGTGCATTTCGGGGTGTCTCGTTTGGATGGAGGACCATGTCTTATGGAACGGCGACGCTCAAGCCAGCCTTGATTCATCAAATCGTTTCATCTTGTTTTCTTCTTCTTCGGAATATTGCGCAATTCACATTTGCTGTCCCCCCCCATTAGGACACCAGTCAGGTGGTGTATTTGTGTGCGTGTTAGAAGCCGGGTCCTGGCCGCTTGGGAGGGTGCCAGTGCCATGGAATGTCGTGATACAGAGACAAGGTCCGCTGGAAAAGACACGGTTTCAGCGCCTGAACCCCCTGGGTATCTCTGGCAACTGCCTCTCCATTCCACTAAATTCGTTCATTCGGCTACTGGTGCCGCATCTCCCCCCCTTTCCCCCCTCCCACACCAACTCTCACGACAGGTCACCTATGACGTAGCCTATAGTCCCCAAACCTGGAATATGGCCGGTCACAGCAGCTAGCAAACGCATGCTGCTTTCTTTCTCACCCACTGCCACCGCATTGTCTCGAACGGAACCGATCATCAACTCAAGAGTGGAAAGACGCAGACAGAGAGGGGTCTGAAACGAAGGAAGGCGAGCGTAGGCAGGTGCAGTGCCTGAAGACGGGGGAGATTGGCTGTCTGGAGGAAGGAACTGGCCTCCTCTCATATCCATCATTCATTCAACTTGGTCTCTTGTCGCAGCTCGTACTTCCTCTTCTCCCTCATACCTCAATTGCATCTCTTCCCGCCACCTAGGTAGTTGTAACGATTCTCAGAGGAACGAGAACGACTTGCCTGACGCCCAAGTCGCCTCAAAATCGGCACATCGCTTTTCGCTCGTTCTTTCCCTGCTTTATCTTATCCTACACGCGAACCTCGTGAGACGACAAGCCCTTGCCTCGTCTTCTTTACCTATCGAGCTTTTCTCTCTTCTTCTACTACCCTCTTCGTCACAACGTTGCTTCGCGAGAATATTCTGTTACAACCCGATTGATACCCCATCAGACTTAGTCTGCATATTCTCTTCGCTTCTTCTTTTCTCCCGTCGGTTCTCGACTTCGGACAGCAGTGGGTCCTCTTCCCAGCATCTCCCCACCCCAAAAAAAAACCATGACTTCCGGCGCCTCCATCGACACCCCCATCCGGCCCGCCCTCCTCAAAAATTCGGGCCTGCCAAAGTCCGACTCTTCCGTCTCCACCACGGCTCAATCCTGCAAATCCATCCGTGTCACCGGCGCCCATCCCCTCGGCTCCCTGCACATTCACCAACCCGTCGACTCGTCTTCTCGGTCACAAGAAACAGCCATGAACCCACACACCGTCCCCGACGATGATGAGCCCCCGCCCCTGGGGCCCATCGAGCCACACGACGCCGTCGCTACCCAGCGCGCGTCGCCTCAGCATGAGCACTCACTCGGCGGCGGCGACATCGTGCTGATCATGGACCTCCCCACTCACTTCACAGTTGGCTACGATTCCGTCTCTTTCACCGCCCGCGACTTCCTCGGCGTCAGAGACATCCCACCCGGCCCGCACTTCTTTTGGGTCTCGGAGACGGAGGCCAGCACCACGCGCTGTGGCTTCTGGATCATCAGCTCGGCCGCGGAGAAGATTCATGTCATGCAGTGGGACAAGTTTAACGAGGTCATCGGCGAGCCCGCCAGCCAGGTCGAGGCTCGCTTTCAAAAAGATAACATCCAAGACATCTACTCCAGGTTGGCACCCTACCAGTTCCGCGCCCTAAACGCAAACGTCAAGTCTGCCACCTCCGGCTCGTCTAGTCCGGAGCCCGAGTTCGCTAGAAATATCAACATCTGGCAGCAGCTCACCAACGCCATCTCGGCCCCTCTCCTGAGTAGACTCACCACCCGCCAGCCGGGCAACTGGGCTGTGCACACATCGGACCGTGTAAGAGGTGCTCTGATGCTTCCTGCAGAGGTCGAGCTCGAAAAGCGGGTGCCCAGCGCCGTCGCGACCACCGAACTGAACTTCACCTTCAGCCAGGGCGCAAAAACGTACGATGCGGAGACCGTTGGCGCCGCACGCACCGAGCAAGCCGTCGATGCCACCGCGTACTTGCTGTCCACTGGCATCAGTGACGACGACGTTGTGGGTGAGCTGCAGTTTGCCTTCATCGTCGGAATGCACCTCGGCAACGAAGCCTGCGTCCAACAGTGGTGGCACATGCTGGTCTCCATCGTTCTGAAGGCCTACACCCTGCCCCTCAAACGGCCTGAGATGGCTCGATCCCTCCTCCAGACAGTCACAGCCCAGCTCGTCTATAACGAACGTTACCTTGATGGATCTGTTCTCGACTACGGCCCATCATACTCTCGCGATCTCCGCATGGCTCTCATCGTGTACAAGCGACGCCTCAACGAAATACTCCTGGCACTCAACTCACTTGCCACCCCCGAACAGGCTGCCGTCGGCCAGGCATTCTCCGAACTCGAGACGTGGGTCTGGAAGTTTGGATGGGACATCAGAGGCGACTATCTCCGAAAGGGCAAGAAGATGCTTGAGGATGGCGAGGAAGTGGAGTTGGAGATGGACGACCTTGAGGCCGAGGACGAACGGGGTGAGTTCGCTGCTACAGTGGTCGAGCTGGACGAGTGCGGAAAGCAGAAGGATCTTGTCTCGTGGGATTAGGGCTCCGGGGTCAGGCGCTGGTTGGAAGCAAAGGAGAAGCGTCGCCGGCACTCGCAGTCGTGCGCCAGGAGCAGCATCAGTGACCCTTTCCTGGCACCTCTGCCGCCTGTCGGAGTAAGGCCACGCCGTTTCTCATCTCGAAGGATGTCCTTCATAGATACAGTACGACCCAAGTCTCGCAACTCAACTCTCATGCAGGTTGACTTTTGAGGAACAGGCGTCAGATATGAGGACGGTGCATGGTCGTCCAGTATTGTTCACGGAGATAACATGGGTTTTCAAGCGGGGAGTTTCGGATCCTTTCTTGACTTCTCATGCATCTTTTGGTTTGGCTTTGTTGGTTTTTTTGTTGGTTTTGCTACCCGGCTTTTGTTTAGGGTTGAAGGTGCAACTCGGGCGAGAAAGCTCTGGTATGGCTGGCGCGTGAAGAGGACTGGGAGATGCGCATATGGCTTTACTGGACCGGAAAGCTACACTCTGTACGAATGCAAACTTGGTTAGGAAGCATACGATTCACCATTTGTTGTCCTGTTCAAGCGTTTTATGTGACTTTCACTAAATGCGAAGCCTGTTGACCCCATACACGATGGTGACGGGTTCCATTTTAAGATTTATTCTGTTTTGATCAGCACAGAGCTAAAACTGCGACACTCCTCGAGCTGTGAACAGATTTCATGGTTATAGGGTCTCTTTCTCTAGAGATAAAATGTCTAGCAAGTTTTCTCCAGAGCCCAAAAGTAGTACTTGAGTATAATCCTGTGCCTGCTTGTGGCACTCCCATCTCCTTACTGGCAGTCAGTTACCAGACGCCCTGCCTCTTCTTCTTGAAAGGCAACTTTGGTGGGGGGGGGGGGCAAACCATCACGAAATCCAAAGACACAACCGTCGCTCTTCGAAATGACATTCGAGACGGTCGACGACTCATACAGGGACCCTGTTGAACGACGCACGGCCCGAGCTGAATCTTTCATCTTAGCCAGAGTGTTGTGATACATGACGAAGAGGATATCTACTGAGCGTCATGTCTGACCGGAGGGAACAACTCACCATACCTCCTTGGCTGGTATTTATGAGTAGTTAGAGAAGAGGGATTGTTACATGTCTGGCCAAAGCCCAACCTATTATCAAATAATCACAAAGTACAAGAGACATCACATCAAAAATGTAATCATATCGTAGGGTAATTGGCCTATTACCATCGCCACCCTCGACAGGGCCAATGCCTGGTATACACAGCCATCTATCAAATGCTGTCATCGCCTGTCGAGTAAGGAACTGGACCCAACGGTCTCTCTAATGCTGTCCCCGACACCATTCGTCGTGTCGTCTTCGTTTCCTCCTTAAACTTTTGTTGAGCCTGTTCCAAGGTTGGCCATGCCTGAGAAATATCGCACACAGTCCCAAATCCGATATGGGTAAATAGGAAAAACACAAGGAAAAAAAAGAGAAAGAGAGTCGTGGAAAAATACCAGACTGGAAGAGAATACCGTATCAGTGGATCCCGGGCACATCGAATCTAAACCCTTCTGTCTACGTGAACGCCGATTTTGCATGATGAATTGCGCAAATTGCCGCCTCATGGATGATGAACTACCTCGCCGTTTGGAGTGGTCCAAATGGCAGGCAGGTTTCTTACCAGCGTCGGGCACCGCCTAGAGGAGCATTGTTAGAGTTGTTGTCTACAAGGGGAGTCCGTTAGCGTAAACACCACTAAGACTTTTGAGGGGAAAACGTACGACCACCACCGCCGCCACGGCCACCACCACGGCCACGGCCCCAACCACCATAGCGGCCACCGCCACCACCACCGCCGTAGCGGGTCATCTCGGCGAGACGAGGATCAATCTCCTGCTTAGCTTCCCTGAGGACATTGACGAGATCCCGAGCCTGCTTGGAGTCTGCGACAAAGTTAGCACTATGAAACGGAGGCGATAGGAAAGGGGAGAACTGACTGTCCGTGGTGAAGAAGGTAACTGCAGTACCCATTGCACCAGCACGACCAGTACGGCCAATACGGTGAATATAATCCTCCGAGTTGTTGGGGTAGTCGTAGTTCAGCACGTGAGTAATGTTACGAACATCTTGAATGGGTTAGCATGACGCCTCACAGTGTGTATAGCAACGTTCCAGCATGGAACCAGGTATGTTTGATAATCATATCGGGCCGTCTTTCACTCCGTCGAAGACAGGGCAGTCCGTCTGCGTCAAATGCCATCCTGGAAAGTTCAGTGTACCGGGTCCTCGGGCTTGGGGAATCTTGGGGACAGCTTGATCGAGTCAAGATTTGCCACATCCACGCTTGTACCATTGGCATATGGGAGGCACAAGAGTGGAACAGCGAGTATAGCAAGCCAACGGCTACACACCAGACCAAGACTCCACACAGGAGCAGAGAGAACCAAGGAAACACGAATGCATCAGGCAAGAGTGCGCAATCAAGAGAGCCCCTAGACATAAGAGTAAAGCACAGCACGAGGCTGCTGGAAGTTGCCATGTAGGTTGAGGGGATGTGATACTCACCAATACCACGCGACGCGACGTCGGTAGCGACCATGATAGGGCTCTTGCCCGTCTTGAACTGATCCAAGACCCAATCACGCTCGTTTTGCTGCTTGTCACCGTGGATGGCTAAAGAGACGTTAGCTTGGGGCAAAGAAGTACGGGGACAGGTAGACATACAAAGTGCGGGCCATCCGTCCTGGCGAAGGAACCGGGTGATCTCGTCGGCGACACGCTTGGTGCCGACGAAGATGAGAACTTTGTTCTCCTTGTTGTCCATCATCTTCTCAAGGTGCTTGATCATGCGATCACGCTTCTCACTTTCGTTGACAACCTCGACGACTTGGGTAATGCGATGGTTGGCAGCCAGCTCCAAGGAGCCGATGTTCACCTGGATGAAGTCGGTAAGGAAGTCGGACGCAAGGGCGCGGACCTCCTTGGGCCAAGTGGCAGACCACATGAGGGTCTGACGATCAGGGCGAATCTGACCAATGATCTTGCGAATTTGGGGTTCGAAACCCATGTCCAGCATACGATCAGCCTCGTCGAGAACCAAGTAAGTGACTCTACGCAGGTTGGTCTTGCCAGCCTCGAGCATGTCGATGAGACGTCCGGGGGTTGCGATGCAGACCTCGACACCACGAGAGAGGTCACGGATCTGGGGGCCCTTGGGGACACCACCGTAGACGCAGGTGTTGCGGATGCGGGAAGACTTGCCAAACTTGGAAATCTCCTGCTGAATCTGGACCGCGAGCTCACGGGTGGGCGCGAGGATCAGGACAATAGGGCCGTCACCGGGAGCCAGCAGAGGCTGGGCGTTGATGTGAACAATAGCAGGCAGGCAGTAGGTCAGGGTCTTCCCGGAGCCCGTCTCGGCAATACCGACGACGTCACGACCGGACAGGGCCATGGGCCAGCCCTGGGACTGAATGGCGGTAGGAGCAGGGAAACCCTGCGCCTTGACCTCGTCCATAACATATCTGGGGAATCCAGCCTCGTCGAAGGTCTCAACGGGCTTGGGGACATCGTTGCCAGAGACGGCCATCTGGTGCTTGCGACGGAAGGATTCCACCTCAGCAGGACTGCGGTTCGCGACCTCCTCGTGCTCCTTGTAAAAAGACTTCTCGAACTTGGGCAGCGTGCTAGGATCTGTCTGATGGTTAGCTTGTTTGTTTTGACGTAACTGAAACGCGAAAATACTGACCCCATTCTTGGGTGCGAAGGCCGGCGCCGAGGTTGCTCATGCGGTCACCACCACCGCCGAAACCACCGCCGTAGCCACCGCCGCCACCGTAGCCGTTGCTGTCACTGAGCTGTTAGTAAGGTGGTTCCCTAAGAAATTACAACTTCGACAACGTCGAGGTTCGCGTCGCGGTTGTACCGAAACGCGACGCTTCAGGTCCGTTGCAGACAACCGTGTCACCACCTTGATCCGTGGTGGTAAGGCAGGCAGAAACAGGCTTACGAAACCAACCGAGAAAGGTCGGATGAGGATCGATAAGGAATCAATGAAATGCTTACCCGTTGTAACCACCGCCGCCGTAGCCGCCATCGCGACCACCTCTGTCGCTGCGATCGCGACCACCGCCGTAGCCACCGCCGCCACCGCGACCGCCGCCACCGTATCCGCCGCCGCCGCCGCCGTAGCCGCCGCCGTAGGACATGATTCTACGTGCTGAGAGTGCGCGAGTGGTGGATTGTCGTTGATTATCTTCGCTGAAGCGAAGTGTCAAAAGGCAGAAAGAAAGATCGTGGGGAGAAAACGCAGGAGGTAGAGTTCCTTTTTCCGGAGTAAACCGAAAAAGAAGACTGTTGTTGCGTTGGGGGAGGTTGAAGATGGGAATTTGTGAGATGGAGAAGAGAGGGATGCGGATGAGGGAAGGGAGAAAAAAAGAGCAGGAGGACCGAAGGTTTTGGGGAGCGCGAGGGAAGGCGGCGACCCGGGGTGAATTTTTTTTGCCGGCCAAAACTTTTCGACACAGAGGCTGCCAGAGGACCCTGCAAAGGCGAAAAAGGTACGTACCTCCTGCACGTGGACCCGCTTCGGTCTTATCGGGTAGATAAGATAGTGAATATGACTCGCGATAAGGCACCTCTGCTAATTCTGCAACAAGGTTCTTGACTCTCCCTTCCTCAGCCTACTGTTCTGGATTGGGTCTACAGAAAACCCTTCTCAGATTTTGCATGCGTCCTGCGCAAACCATTACTAAATGATCGGAGACCGTTTGGCCTCGGGTGAGTCTCCGAGGGCAGGGGGGCCTCCCTCATTATGCAGGTTTTGACGTATTCAATGGCACGGCGGCATTACACTACGTACTCCGTACTGTACTGTACGTACGCCCGAACTGTCAAAGAAAATGGGGTACGGCCAGCAGCACCAGACAATGCAGGGAGCTCTTGTACCACTCAGCGTAATGATGCTTGGGTCGTTGGCTTTGGTTCTTTTCCAGAAGAGTTATCTAGGTATTTGCCCAAGATTTATATATGAGGCCGTGTGAGCGCCAGGATGACGACAACAAGAGGCCTTGGCCGCTCAAGCCTGTCCGACAGTTATCCGGACCGAGAGGCTCTTTTTTTTTCTTTTTCTTTTTGCAAATATGTCTAATTCAGTATCCTTTGTCCACCGTCTTTGTTGAAAGTCCTTGTTGTGTCCTAGTAGTCTATCGGAAATCTTCGAGCAATCAATCCTATTGGGCTTCCTCGCTGGTAAGGAAACATCTCCCAGAAGCCAATCTCCATCTGCATCACAGTTAGTGAATGTTTGGGACTTGTACCATGTGCAGCGTACCTTGGTTCCGTGGACGAAGATCTTGATAAGCCGCTCGATGCTCGACGGACTCTGTAGCACGGCATGCCTCTCGATCAACTCTGTTCCTCGGTCAGCAACCCGGCGCTTCATCGATCGCAAGCGGGACTCCACGAACCTGACCCAGTCTTGACGGCCCCGACATAGTCATCGGCGACATAGTTCTCGATCCACTTCCAGTACGTATTGCCATCGCGCTTCGTCTTAACGTCGCCGTGGAGCTGCTTGGCCACGGCACCGTACCCTAGAAGACAGGGAGCCAGTGCCATTTGAAGGGCAATCCAGTCTTCGCTCATCCCCACGTCGAGAACGTAGCGTGTGTATGCCGTGCAAGCTGTGCTTGATTAGATCATAGACTCGGCGTCTACCAACAAATGACTAACCTCGATGCTCCTCAGTTGCCTCAATCTCAGGCACAGTAATGCCAAAACCCTTACAGTAGTCAATGTGCAGGCTCATCTCACGATTGATGTGGCTGACGATAGTGGCGCCCTGACATGGTCAGTATGAAACCCAGCATAGCATTCTCTGATAGATACTGACAGCAGCAATATCCGCGATGTTCTTCGCCTTGTACGACGCCAGGGCATTGGCTCTGGCAAAATGGACCTTCAAGCATGTTAACGAGATCTCTCCAGCTGGACTGCCAGAAACATACGAGGTAAAGGTAGTCTTGGATGAGGTACTGCTTGAAGGACTCCATGGGGAGCGTGCCGTTTCCCATGGCCATGACAAAGGGATGATAAACGAAAGTCTTCCAGACGTCTCTGACATCGGGTCGTGCGAGCATATACTCAATGAATCGTCCCCTGCTATCAGTCAGCTCTTGGTATTCCGAGAGGTTTGGGGGCCATACGGCGCGAACGGAAGTATTTGAACCGAGTGAAAGTGGTTCAAAGGTCCATGTCCCCTGCCGAAGCCCGGGGCTGTTTTGATCGCAGCCTCGATGTATCGGCAGGCTGACTTGGCTGCTTCAGGTACAGTAAGACCCTTGGCCAAATTAGAAGCGATGGCAGCTTTCATATGTCAGCATATACTGCTCCTAGAGAAGAGCCATTACTCACAAGCCAGCGAGCAGCCAGTACCATGCGTGTTCATGGACCTTTGGTACGGGCTCTGTATTTGCAGAAACTTCCCATGTCCGTAAAGCACGTCAACAACGACAGACCTCTCTTCCTCCGTCTCGGCTACAGTGAAATCCGCCTTGAATGGCATATGCCCGCCCTTAACCAGCACCCACTCAGGGCCAAGCGCTTGGACGGACCGTGCCATCTCTTCGAGGTCCTTAACGTTCCTGACTTCGACGGGCTTGTGGCCAGAGTCCTCGAGAATGAGCTCCGCCTCGGGGATGTTGGGCGTGAGGACGGTAGTGAGCCTCAGCAGACCTTCTAACAGCTCCGCGACGGCCTCGCGGGGGAGGAGCTCGGCCCCGCTCGTTGCGATCATGACCTACCAACGTCAGGCGCCTATTATCTACGCCGTCGGCAAGTTAGGCAGTACATACCGGGTCCACAACCACCTTGGGTATCTTGTGTCTCTTGAGAGCCTCGACAACAGTTCCTATCGTTGCGGGAGAAGCCAGCATACCTAAATACGGTCAGCTATCGGGCTTCGCTTCTGCAGGCCTTCACAACCTACCCGTCTTGACAACGTCGACTCCAATGTCGCCGACGCAGGCATTGATCTGCTTAACCAGAAACTCCTGCGGCACATGGTGGATATCGTGTACGCCAGTAGTGTCCTGAGCCGTTAAGGCAGTCGTGGCTGTCATGGCATAGCAGCCGTGCGCTGCAATCACCTTTTGGTCTGCCTCGAGGCCGCTGTAAATCCTATCAGCATCGAAACACGCAAGAGGTGCATTAAGACGGTGTCTCACGCCCCGCCTGAGCTGTCGGAGCCAGCAATGACAAGAACCCGTCCCTGAGGCATGTTGGGTGCTGTTGCAAAAAGAGACCGATAAGGCAGTTGGGTCGTCCTGGGCGGTATTTGAGAAAATCAAAAGCCACTTCAGCCGTTGTATAAGTGCTATTTTGGGCTGCGAAGCATCATTGCGAATGGACAGGTCGGAGGGTGATTGACGTTGGATGGGCCGTTTTGTCGTTCTCAGATGTCATGTCACTCAAGGTGGGGGCGGGGCTCAGATTTTACTGCAAGGTGCACACTCAGCAGCTCCTCCTTCCGATGTCCCGATTCATTTCATGAACAACAACACCACGTAAACAATCAGCCATATTTGGTATTTCGTCGTGGCACACAAGTTACCGACTCGTGTGCTTCACAGTCAGCTTATTCATATGGGGAACAAGTTACTTTTGAATTGCCTACCCTGCCGACGCCCTACTCCCCGGGAATCGATCGATGCGTATACAGCCAGCCACCCGACTCCATCGTATCCATAGCTCGCTCAAATAGCAAGTCGTGATCTCTGAAAGTCTGTTTGACAGTCAAAATATTGGCCGGTCCACCAGACTTATCCATCCCCAAAAAGTCCCGAGATATAGTACAAGAAAATCCAACAGCAAAATGCCCCGCCCCACCAAGCTACTTGGTGAGGTTTCAAAATTTCACACGCCCTCTCCCGTTCCACACGCCGAGAAGTAGTTTGTGGGGAAAGAGGATGGAACGGGATGTGCCAGTGTAGCCGCCGGCCAGTGTAGCCGTTACGCCGTCTCGCCCGAGCTCTCTGTGCCAGACGAGCTGTGACTATTCGGCCGTTCCGTCCTTATTGGAATATTCCTCACGAGCTCTGAAGGATCTGATATGCTCCTCTGTCTCTCGGTTCGGTTCTCATCACCAGATGATGACGCATCATCTTCGTCCTCTTCGTCTTCATCTTCGTCAGACTCACCGTCACTGTCTTCGCCAAACACGATGCGGCGGAGGACGCTCTTGTCAAACATTTCTATCACCATTCGCCTGATAGGCAAACGGTAGTGGTTGTATTCGAGCATCGTCATGACGCGCTTGAACATCTTTGGGCACCTGAAACCTGGCACCTTGTGCTGCCTGATCTGCATCAGCTCCCCCATAGCGCGCTTGTACAGCACCATGTTACCGAGATCGACAACGAGATCGAGAATTCGCTGATTGGTGGCTGCTTCGTTGGTGAAGGCCGGCAGATCTTCCTTCTCCAGAGGCGGGCGCGCTTCCGTGGGCGGCGGCGGAGTCAAGAACGTTTTCTGCGTGTCTGGTAACGTGATCTTGGAGGCGATGGCGTGCTTCCATGGCTTGAAGGAGAAGAACTTGGACAGGTCGTTGGGGATGCAGAATCCCAGGGACTCTCCCCTCGGTGAAAGATTTGCGTCCCACCCGCATTCTGAGAGGATCTCAAGGCCGTGGGCGGATCTAGAGATCAGACCGAGCACGAAGAAGGCGGTGCCGCGCAGGCTCATCACCTCGTGCTCCTCGGCGATTCTGACAATGTCCTCAACGACGTCGCACGACTCAATAAAGGGAGCGCCGAGCTCCATCGAGCCGACGTTGCCAACAGCCCACATTGACGACTTGACCTTCAGCATGAGCTCTGGGTCTTCTGACTGCATTCCGTACTCTTTGATGGTGTTGGCAAACTCGGCGAAATGGCCCTTGTCGTTGAGCAGCTTGCAGCCCTCTTGGGTGCGTGCAAGCTCGCGATAGAAATGGGGTGGTATATGGTTCTCTGGCTCCGCCTCCGCTTGAGCTTCGTCCACCATGTTCATGCGGTTCTGATGCTCCTCGGGATTCTCGAGAAACGCCTTGGCCAGGCTGGTCTCGATAACCCCGACGTACGAGTCGTTCCGGCCGAGAAACCAGTCGTCCATTTCGTTACTAATGTAATCGACGCCGTCGAGATAGTGATAGCCGATGGAAGAAGATAAGAACCGCAGGAGGAGAGGGGCGCCGATCTCGCCCAAGTGGTCCATCGTCGGACGACACTGAACAACGTATTCCAGGTATGCCTTCTTATTGCATGCCTTCTCGAGGATCTTAACCGCGGTTCGGCAGACTTCTACCTCAGGGTCGTACAGCTGGTCACACAGCTTTTCGATTGCCCATTTCCAGTCGACTTTGCCGTAGGAAGGCTGTGATGCGTCAAACGGCCGAGTTGCATACTTTCGCAGCGCGTTCGTTGCCGTGATGCGAATCTCTCTCGTTCCAGAAGTCAGGGCCTGCTCTATAAGCACCCGCGGGTGCCCTGGGATGCTGTAGTCGAAGTTGGAGAGCAACAGCTTGATCAAGTCGGGGCGCTGCTTATGACCGAGGATGTGATACATCATGTTGAACATCCTCCAGCGCTGCAGGAGATCCAAGCCCCTAGGGTCGCCACTAAGGACACCGAGCATGGGGAAGTAACCCGCGCAAAGCGTGCTTTGCAGGCGGCCAGGGGAGAACATGGGATCCGTCGATGTCAGTCCACTGCTCTGCGAGAGCTGTTAGTACTTTGCTCGCGTTGCTGTAGCTGAGGGGAGGGACATACCGGATCGCATTGAGCAAGGCATTCGGCTATCTGTCGCAGCATCTTGTGATCCTGCAGATATTCGACGCCCTCGTTAGACTGAAGCAGAGTATGCATCAAAGCACATCCTACCCTGACGTACTTTTGCGTGTTTTTGTTGCTGGAAAGATCGGAGAACCTGTGCTTAAAGGGACGGTAGAAGCTCATGATCCTGTTCATGAACTTGGAGACCCTGTTGACCTCGTCCAGCCGTTTTCCGTCTTGGAGCGGTCCTTCGATGATTCGTGAGATGACATCCCAGTTCCACTTCAAGTAGTTGGAGCTGTTCAGGACATTCGACTCGACCAAGAGCTGTCGGATTGCGCCCTCTTGAACCACAACCCCGGTGTTACTCTTGCGAGGCATGTCCGCGAGGTTGCCCATGCTGTCGTGTGACGGCAAGGTCCCAGCCGTGCCCACAGAAGGCGAGCTCCTGTACAGGGTCCTGCTCACCGAGCTAATCTGATAAACTATACCGGAGGCAATGAATCTGTTATCGTCCTTGAACTGGGTGGCGGCAGCGAACAGTTCTGGAAGCAGAGGGAGGTCGTTGCTCCAAGATGAGGGGAGGAGCCTGCTCGCCAACTTCAGCACTTCTCCAATGAGGAGACACGTCTTCCTCGACAACTGCGGCTCGCTAGTTCTTGCGACCTGGAGAAGGTTTTCCAAGAGACCAGCCTTGACGAACGTTGCCAGAAGAAGGGCAGTGTAGTGGTCCATGAAGTTTTGCTCCCCGGTGTCTTCTTCCATAGGGGACGTTGACCCTGAGGAATTGTGGTTTGAGATGGACTTGAGGCTAGCAACCCGTCCATACGTTGTCAAGCGCCGGCCAGCGAGAAAGGACGAGGCCCATGAAGGGGATTTGATCCGGAGTAGAAGGTAGACAAGATCAATGACAGTTTCCCGGATGGTGGGTTGCGGAAGCACCATACTGGTGAGCAGCGACTTGAGTGCGCGAGAGTCGTGCATCGTCAGTATCATCAGACCAGGCCAGCTCTTGAGGATCTTGGTGATGGCCTTTGCATTTTGCTTCAGTAGACTCTCATTGGCCAGGATGATGTCCGTGAATGCCGTGAAGAGGACCTCCAGATCATAACCGGAGCGTAGGTAAACCCTCTTCTGCGGATTGTCCAGTATTTGCAAGTAGGAAGCCGTGAGTGACTCTGGTGACTTGTAGGTCCCTTCAATCAGAGCCTCAGAGAGCGGTGACAGGCCGCCAGATGCAACTGCCAGGGCAGGATCACGGAGCATGATCTCAGCAAGGGTCTCCAGACAGATAGACCGCAGGCGGTCTTCGGCTTGCTCAGCAACAGCAGCTATAGTTCGCACGACTGCACGTGATAGTTCTTTGACTCCGTCCTTGACATCCAAGAAAGCTCGGACAAACTTCAAGGCTTGTTCACGCTCCAGATCGGCCTTGCGATCCTTGATCAATGACCTGTTTCTTATCAGCCAAAGCCCCACTGATCGAGCTTGGGTTCTTTTGTACTCACGTCACAACAATCATGTCAGTGTTCAGACTGCGGATCTTTTTCAGGGACGACACATCTGAGATGGCATAGCGGATCATGCGGTAGCCAGCAGCCACCACTTCCCGGGCCTCGCTGAGGAGCATGACTTGCATACGCATACCAAAGACAGACCACACCAGGTCATACTTGAGGGTCGGATGCCGCCTAAACAAGTCGACCAGGCTGTTGCCTCGACTGACATAGTATTCTGGGGGCATGCCCTCCTGTTCCAGAGCCTGGAGCAACTCGGCCAGGAGGAAGGTAGGCGATTGTTCGGCTGCCTCGTCGTAATCAGATCCAGCGCCGCTGCGGGAAGCACTGGGGGGAGAACGCAAGCCGTTGTTGGCGGAAGAATACAGTGCATCATTGGTCCTCTGCCTTGTTGGAGTTGTCGGGGTTGCCTTGGGCCTAGAAGCGTCTGCAATCTTTTGGCGTAGGATCTTGATCCGCTGGTTGGATGCGTTGAGCTCTGCCTCGACCTTGGCCCTCTGCTCCTTTGTCTGCTTCGCCTTCTTGGCATTCAAGGCCTCCAACATGTTCTCGCTCCCATCCTTGATCTTCATCTCCCGATTTAGCTGTTCTCGGAGCGCTGCCAGCGTCTGCTCAGTAGCGGTGGCGCAATCCTCCTCGTCGACCTTATCGATGCTGTAGATATCGCCCCGGGAGCCAGATCGAGGTGGCATCATCTGGCTGCGCAGCTCAGAACTGAAACTCCCAGGGGCAATGGAGGGGTTGAGCGAGGAGCCTCGAGGTCCGAAGCTGGCGCCCGAGGCGCCCAAGCTTCTCGAAGCATTGGCAGATGATGCGGGGGGCGGCTGGAGACCACCGGTGCTCGCCTCGCGCTCGAAACTGGGGCGTGGGTTGAGGGTATTGAGGCTCGACACAGACTGCTGAGGCGACAGTGCCTTTTGAGACTGACTGGAGGCGCCCAGCATGGCGGTGAA